CCCAGCCCGGCCCCGCGCGGCTTTGCCGGGGTCAAGGCCAAGTTGAAAGTCAAAAAAAGCTCCGAGCGCTTCGAGCTCCTCGGTCCTGGCCGAGCTTTTGGGGGAAAAACTCCGGATTTCTCCCAAATTGGGGCTGAGTTCGGAGCTGCGGCCGGAGGGGCTCCAGCCCTGCGACTTTTCAGCCTTTAATTCCTTTTAAATAATTTGATTTTTAGCGCTGAAGATTTCCCTGCGAGTTTTCAGCCCATTAATTCCTTTTAAATAATTTGATTTTTAGCGCTGAAGATTTTCCTGCGAGTTTTCAGCCCTTGAATTTATTTGGATTTTAGGGCTGAGGATTTTTCTGTGAGTTTCCAGCCCTTTCGTTCCTTTTAAATAATCTGATTTTTAGAGCTGAGGATTTTTCTGCACGTTTTCAGCCCTTTCATTCCCTTTGATTTATTCGATTTTTAACGCTGAGGATTTCCCTGCGAGTTTTCAGCCCTTTAAATCCTTTTCAATATTTTGACTTTTAACGCTGAGGATTTTTCTGCGAGTTTTCAGCCCTTTAATTCTTTTTAATTAATTTGATTTTTAAAACTGAGGATTTCCCTACAACTCTTCAACCCTTGAATTCCTTTTAATTTATTTGGATTTTAGTGCTGAGGACTTTTCTGCGAGTTTTCATCCCTTGAATTTATTTGATTTTTAATGCTGAGGGTTTCCCTGCGAGTTTCCAGCCCTTGAATTCCCTTTGATTTATTTAATTTTGAGCGCTGAGGATTTTCAGCCCTTTAATTCCCTTTGGTTTATTTGGTTTTTAGGATTCTCAGCCCTTTAGGTGCCTTTGATTTTTTTTTTTGTTGGTTTTTTGGTTTGGTTTATTTTATTTTATTTTATTTTTTTAATGCAGAAAGGAAGAAAAGGCGGAGAGGGACCGGCCGCGCACGGACACCCCGGGAAACCCAGGGCACGGAGCTAAAATCGGATAAAAATTGGATTTTTTCCCTTTGCCTCGGAGCCGCGGTGAGCGGGGCTTTGTCCCGGCCCGCGGATGCTGCCCCGGGCAGAAATTTCCCTTTTTCACCCCAAAACCGCCTTGGCTTCATTTATTATCATTTTTTCCCGAATTGTTTTTAAACCCGTGGGAAAATTTCGAGCAGGAATTTTTCTCTGCTGCGGGAGCCGTTGGAAAACGCGATTTCCACCCCGAAAATGAGATTTTCCTTCTTTGCCGACTTCAGAGAAAATTTCAGTGTTTAAAGCAAGAGCAAGGGGTTTATCTTAAAGGAAAAAAAATCCGAATTCTTCACCATTTCCTGTCTCAATGACCGACACGAAAATCATCAAACGCCCTTATCAGTTCGCAGCCATTCTTTTATTCTTTTCTCCACAGGATCCTTTTAATATTTCTCCCATCTGGAGCCTGAAAAATCTCTGGAACAACTTTTTAAAAAGTCTGGGATTTTATTGATTTATTTTTATTTTAAAGCAATTGAATCGGAACCATCATCACAAAACACAAGGGGAAAAAAAGAAAATCAAACCCAACCCAAACCCCAAAACGGTTTGAAGAGGAGATTAAAAAAAAAATTGGAACAACTCAAAGACTTCACGTTTGGAAATAATCAATGGCTGGAAAATTGGATTCTGGCTCTGGAATCCAGCCCAGCTCCTCGCTCGCTGATTCTGGCAAGATTTCGGGAGGGAAAAAAATCAAATCGAAGCCAACATTTTGGATCGTTTTGATCTTTTATTTCCTTTTTTTCCCGTTTCTGTGCCCGCCGCAGGGGCAGCGCCGGCCGCTCGGCGCTCGCAGGTGCGGAGGTTTCGCTCCGCGGTGCCGAATTTGGCTTTTCTGGCGCATTTTTGGCGGATCCCGGGAACAAATCCTGGCACGGGAACAGAGCCCGGCCCGGCTCCGCCCGGGCTGCCCGGGAGGGGTCGGACCCGGGGCTTCGTAGGATCCGTTTTGGGGGAGATTTTGGGGGTTCCAAACTCGGGGGGTTTTGTAGGATCCGTTTTTTGGGGTTTTTCGGATCAGTTTTTAGGAGATACTTTTGGGGGGTTCCAAACCCAGGGGGTTTTGTAGGATCCGTTTTTGGGGAGATTTTTTTGGGGGTTCCAGACCCAGGGGTTTTGTAGGATCCGTTTTTAGTGGGTTCCAAACCCAGGGGTTTTGTAGGATCCGTTTTGGGAGAGATTTTGGGGGGTTCCAGACCCAGGGGTTTTGTAGGATCCGTTTTTTGGGAGATTTTTTCGGGGGTTCCAGACCCAGGGGTTTTGTAGGATCCGTTTTTTGGGAGAGATCTGGGGGTTTTTTGGATCAGTTTTTAGGAGAGATTTGGGGGGTTTCAGACCCAGGGGTTTTGTAGGATCCGTTTTTGGGGAGATTTTTTGGGGGTTTCAGACCCAGGGGTTTTGTAGGATCCGTTTTTGGGGAGATTTTTTGGGGGGTTTCAGACCCAGGGGTTTTGTAGGATCCATCCATCCCTCATCCATCCCTCATCCCTCATCCCTTCCT